TCTACCTCACAAATTAAGTGGAAATTGCTGGTGTGAAATCTCTTGTTCATCTTATGGGCCTGATATCCATATCAGTCTGAAACTAATAATTGCCTTTTTCTTTAACTTTAAATCTTTATTTTATTTCTCTTAAACTGCAAGGTCAGTCTTACAAGAGTTTGTGTTTGTGTGTATATATGTGTGTATATATATAGTGTGTACTATGTAGTCTTTTAGTTCTTCCATCATTTAAAATACTTTTAATGAATTTTGGAGGTGAATATTTGGGTACCCTGTGTGTTTCTTTATGGGGGATATACTGCTGGTTAAATAGTTCTATCTTGGAATTAGTTGAGGTGTGCATCAGATTTTACGAGAATGAACATTAAAATGTGGCTCTTTGAGAAATTAAATAAGCTTTTCTGAAGCAGGATTATCAGGTAAGGATATTCTTGCAATTAGCTTACATATCTTGTCCTTGCTGCCACTCAAATTAATTGCTTTTGGTGTGTTGTCTTTTAAGTAGATTTCTTATGGTGATATTGGAGTTTCCGGTGTTGAATACATCGTGAGTCATTTGATGAAAATAGTGCTACTTAAGGTTTATTCTCATCAAAACTGCCAGGAGTCCTTATCATTCTGTCAGTCCTCTTCAGATTTACCATGGTAAACCTCTATGTTGCAAATGCTTTTATGATAATACTACTATAGTTTCTAGAGATTTCCTTACAGCTATTATACTTACCAGGTAATTTTCTTCTATGCTGTATGTAAAGCTGAAGCAGGTGCTGTTAATATACTGCTGGCATTCTGCCACTTAATTTACACATTAGTGTATGTTTTTATAAAGTGTGATTGAAGATACAGGTAGAATAATAGAATCATAGAATGGCCTGGGTTGGAAAAGACCTTAAAGATCATCTAGTTCCAACCCCCCTGCTGTGGACAGGGTTGCCAACTGCTAGATCAGGCTGTCAGGGGCCCCATCCAACCTGGCCTCGAATGCCTCCAGGGATGGGGCATCCGCAGCTTCTCTGGGCAACCTGTTACAGTGCCCCACCACCCTCTGGGTGAATAGTTTACTCCTGATATCTAACCTAAATCAACACTCTATTAGTTTAAAACCATTTCCCCTTGTCCTGTCACTATCTGCCCATGTAAAAAGTTGCTCTCCCTCCTGTTTATAAGCTTCCTTCCAAGTACTGGAAGGCCCCAATGAGATCTCCCCAAAGCCTTCTCTTCTCCAAGCTGAACAAGCCCAGCTCCCTCAACCTTTCTTCATAAGAGAGATGCTCCAGCCCTCTCATGATCTTCGTGGCTCTTCTCTGGACCTGCTCCAACAGCTCTACATCTTTCTTGTATTGGGAGCTCCAGGCCTAGCCACAATGGTCTAGATGGTATCTTACAAGAGCAGAGTAGAGGGGAACAATCCCCTCCCTTGCCCTGCTGACCACCCGTCTTTTGATGCAGCCCAGGATACAGTTGGCCTTCCAGGCTGCAGTTGCACACTGCTGGCTCATGTCAAGCTTCTTGTACACTAGGACTCCCAAGTCCTTCTCAGCAGGGCTGCTCACAATGACTCCTCCCAGTCAGTACACATACGTGGGACTGCCCTGACCAAAGTGCACAACCTTGTACTTGGCCTTGTTGAACCTTATTAGGTTCTTCTGGGCACACTTTTCAAGTAGCTAAGGGTTAAAATCTAGGGGCTTTTGTCTATTTTAATTTAGCTTAACTTAATGTTCTCTAGCATTTCTGATAAAACTACCATTTCCTGGGAACCTAAGGGGACTTTGTTTAAAGCTCTAGACTGGGCTTTTCAGAGGGACACAAGGAAGTTCAATGTCAAGCTCCAGCTGAAAATTGGTGAAAACTAGGGCTGCTCTCTTAAGCAGTTGAGAAATGCAGGCTAAAATCATTCTCCACACTGTTTTTGTTGCGTTGTTAGTAGAACGCAGAAGTGTTATCTACATGTTTTGAGAAGTAACTCCTTAAAAAGATGTACATACTACTTTTGGAAGCATTTTTTTTAAAAAAACACAATGCTCTCAGTAGTAGGGGTCTGTTTTTCAGATGTTAAAAATAATTTAACATCCAATATTGGAAAAATAGGTGAAATAATATTAAAATTGAGCATATGCATAACAGTATTAATGTAGTCACAATAGTGTGATCTGTAGAACCTTGATTCAGATCACTTGTGTCTGTACATCATGACAGGATTTATGGCCCATGCCTGTTTTACTGGAGTAATCTTTATACATCTATTTTTGTGCATTTCTTGATGACCAGCTAGTGACTATTGAGTCTGACAGATAGACTTGAGATCTCGTAACTACAATTAAAGTTGGGGAATGCTATATAATACTCAACATCTTGAAAAAGATTGTCCTGGGTATCTCACATTTGTCTCCCAAGATAAAGATGTTTACACTAAACTATTCTGACTCTATTTGCCATTCCTGACAGATACGTTGTGAAAACTTATTTTTGAAAGCTCTTACTGAGTATGATGGGTTCTGTAAAGAAGGCAAGCGTGATTCCTTAGGGTGTGATGAGTCAGGTAAAAAACTTCTTAAAAAGAATTGGTCATTATATGAG